ACCTACACCCCCCAGAGAAAATCGACCACCAATCAGCAACTGGCCGAGCTGATAAAACCAAGGACACGAAGCAGAAGCGCGTCTTTTTTGGCAGTCTTTGGCAGTTGGTCGTACACAAAATAGTATTCGATAGTCACGTCGCGATATCACCTTAAGTATCACTCTTGTTGTAAATCAAAATAGTTGTTACAAAAAGCAGGTTCGTCTCAGTTCTAAGCATTTCACTCTGAATGAATCGAAGTGTGAATAAACTCGCGTATCGGTTCGGCACTTAAGCATCGAGCATTACGCGACCCGAACAGAGTTAGTCACTTTGGCTTAACCCTAGAGCGGTCTTCGGGTCTTTTTCGACCCACCGCCTTTTTATATTTTTAGTCATTTTTGCTATTATCAAGTTTACGTTCCTTAACATTATTTTAAACGTTCAAACGTTCGGAAACAAAAATTATTACACATAAGGTCTTAGGTCCTTTTTCACTCAAAAGTCTTAAGTGTACAGTCAAAACGAAGACCGCTCTAGGGTTAAATAGTTTCTTCTTGAAACGAAGGAAACTCACCAAACGTCAGTTTTCGTGGTGAATATCCCGTCCAAGAAACTTTCCGGCGGCATCCATTTGATCGGTAACATAGCCTTGCCGCCCTTCCTGTAATAATCGCTCCTGTAAATATCCTTAGCCATTCCGAAATCAGCGATTTTCACTATCCGACCGCGTCCCTTGCACGTAAGCAAACAATTTCTGGCAGCGATATCCCGATGAATAAAACGGGCCTCTTCCATATATTTGCAGCCGTTGGCAACGTCGTAGCCACACATTATCAGATCCAGCATCGTCAACGAAGTGGGCCGTTCCTGCCAAAACAGGAATATACGCATGCACCCCAATGATGACGAGCGCCAAAAATTAAGAGTGGTCCCTGTTTGAATTGTAATCCAGAACGACACATAGTTAACAGAAAGTAACGGAACTTAATATGAAAATTAGGTGCATAAATAAGCCTACGGGCAACGAGTACAGTGACGACTTCCGTTAAAATTCGGACGCTATTTAGAACAGTAGAACTTTTTTTTTTAAATTCGATCAAACGACTTGAGTTTTCTTTTTGTGAGAAGTTAGAGGGATTGGTATACTAGATAACGTGTAAGTACGGGAAATTTGGAAATAATTGCAATTTGTGGAATTTTGTAGATTTATGTCGATTATACACACGCTGAAAATTTTATAGAAATCTATTAACCCTTTCGACCCGATATCGATACCGCGTACCGACTCTGAGAACGTGTCACCGCTTTCCTTTCTTAATTTCTTAATTATTCAGTATGGTATATTAAAACCACAATATTGTCAAAGACTCAAATTCGATATGTTTAGGGCTGTTACTAATTATTAACTAATTATTAAATTTCGCGTCGGCCGTAGAAAGCGAACTGCTGTAAAAACGCCATCGAGTCGGAAGGGTCAACCCTTGCCGGGCGGTCTCAGGGTCCATTCGGACCCATGTGTAGGAAGAGTTGAATGTCGCCAGGCGTTGCGCGTTATCCCTCCCTGCTCCATACAGAACAAAAGACAAAAGCATGTTCGTCGGAAAGATGTAAACTTGAAGCACATTGCCAGTATTCACGTTAACATTGAGCAAACGATACGAGTACAGATGTAAAGCAGTGTTAAGGCTTCGTTAGAACCAGTTTATGTTATGGTCGTTTGATTGAAAAACTCATACTCAGTGACGAAAATAGCAATTTATTCGTATGGATCCGATTGGACCCTGTGTCCTCTGCACGAGGGTTAATGTTAGAACGATTAGTATACTAGACGACGTGTACGAGAAATTTGGAAAAAATTGCTGTTTGTGGTGGGAATCGCGAAGAAAGTTTGAAAGGACGTTGTTTACAAATTTCTTATCTGAGCTTTTAACGAAAATTTAAAATATACGTTTTGTAGATTTATGTCAATTGTATGCATGGTAAAAATTTCGAGGAGATCTGTTGATGCAGAAAAAAACGACAGGCGTTGAAACATTTCTTGCAGTTTATAATAGTTTAGTTATAAGCCGAAAGTCGTGAAACAGTGCGATTTTCATAATTTTTAACAGATTTCGATAAAATTTCCACGCGTACAATTGACATAAACGTACAAAACGTATGTTCTAAATTTTTATCAGATTACCACAAATTGCAATTTTTTCTAAATTTTTCATACACGTCGTCTAGTATACTAATCCTTCAATCTTCTCAAAAAATAAAAACTCAAGTCGTTTGGTCCAGTTTAAAAAGAAATTCAAATGTTCCAAACAGTGTCTGAAGATTAGCGAAAGTCACTGCACATAACGAAACAATGACAGGATAAATCAACAACCTTCTTGAGAAAAAATGTATGTATGATAGAAAAATTTGTAGAAAAAAATTAATTCGTCGATTTAGAACTAAGGTGTAATTGTAATATAACGTTGTTTTAAAAAACGATGATAATAAATACACAGAAGTTAAGGCGTTTAGTTACGTTTCTTAAGAGGCATTATTTACCGCGCGTGGTCTTTCTTCACGAAGGAAGTTCTTTAAATTTCCACCGGCAAGCAACTCTAACACAATGTACTTTGGATTTTTGTCGAAAGAGACCCCGATGAAGTGCACTATATTCGGATGATCGAATTTGCTCATTATCAGAGCTTCCATCATGAAATCAGTCTCGGTTTGAGGCCTCGACGAGGATGGTATAGTCTTCACAGCAACCGGATGCTCCTCGTTGCGTCTGTACTTGTAAATACCTTGGAACACCTCGCCGAAAGCACCTTGACCTAGGGGTCTGATTGAAAATACGGGTGCGATAATCGTGCTTCTCGTAATTGAATGTCAGTATTGAATTCTAATCGCTAGACTGCGGATTTTTATGCAAATTCGTTAGATTTTACGAATACAATTGGAAACATAGAAGGTAGATAGGCAATTGTTCTGTTCGCTGAATATTACAATGACCGCTATATTTTCGGTTTATTTGATATATTTTCATTATGTGCATTTTGCGACACTTTCGTGCCTGCAGATTTTCCACAAATGCATAAAAATCCTCCCTAATCAACCCTCCTTAGGCAATCTGGGTCTTCAAAGACCCAAATGAAATTTCGCCTCCGTGTTTCTTCGAAACGAATTCTTTCTTCTTCTTTTTTTTTTTTGAAAAAAGTTTCAAACGTTTCATTCAGCGAACAATTGTACAATGTAGCAGAGAGCTTGACAAGTACTGGCAGAATTTTCTCCGATTTTTCGAATGCTTGAAACGGTGAAAAAGTTAGACTTGAACGTAAACTACCCAGTTTGTCTAAGGAGTGTTAAAATTGTCGCTGAATTTCTATTTATACTTACTTCACCAAAGTGATATATTCACGAGGTATCTGCGGCAAGTCTTTAAAACTATAGAGATTCCCTGCAAACTCGTAGTTCGGATTGAATTCAGTCATCATAGTGTCGGAAACAGCGCGCAGCGACGTTAATTCGGTACCATTACCGAACATTACTTGTCGCCGCCTTAAAAGCGCCTTTCGATTTTGATAACGATTATCTATTGATAAAAATGAATCGTCTTTATACAATAGTTGAAGTATACATATATATCTACACCGTCGTTTATTTTATAATAATTCGTTTATTACCAATCTGTTACACTGAATTAGAATAAGAAAAATATTGGGAATTTAAACGGGTCCTTACAGAGTAGTAGGCAGAGTGCGGTGAAAGCAACGAGTAAGCCAATGGTTACTGTTATGAGCAAAATCATGAAGGTTTGGTGCGGACCCTTTGTATCATCAGCCACTGTAAAGAAAGTAATTATTTCGCGGTGAAATACATTGGGTGGAGGCGAAAAGAGAATTTTTTTTTTATTTCACAGTTTATACTGTTTGAGGCTTTTTATCATTCAACAGGATAAATTTCGTGAGCATTGCAGCTAGATTCGTCAAAGGTCTGGAAGATTCGCTGATATGAGATTCTGTATTCACTGATATCTGATTTGGTATTCACTGATATTAGATTCTGTATTCACTGATATCAATATTAATATTCACTGATATTAGATTTAATATTCACTGACATCAGATTCAGTATTAATATTCACTGATATCAATATTAATATTCACTCATATGAGTATTAATATTCACTGATATCAATATTAATATTCACTCATATGAGTATTAATATTCACTGATATCTTATTCGGTATTCACTATCTTCTTCAGTATTCACCGACATCAGATTCAGTATTCACCGAGATCAGCTTCAGCGAATTAGACTCCCGATGAAGCTACATATACACTACCGGCCAACAGTTCAGAATCACCTCCCACTTTTCATCGATATTAAATCTGCTGCTAATTTTTTATAGATTTGAAGCTTATCTCAATTCTACTTTTATCAATTTATCTCATATCAATTGATTCGAATGATAAAAAATTCTCAAAGTCGCTCGACTTTTTTCTGAGAATTTTTGTGTAAATTGCAATGCTCGGTGATTCCAAACTTTTTGCCGGTAGTGTATACCTGCAATGCTTGTGAAACTTATCCTCCTGGACAAGAGCTTCCACCCGAAAGCTTCAAACAGTATAAACTATAAAAGCCTCAATACGCTCATATATATTTTTTTAACACTTACTGACGCATGACCTCGAATTGTTACTCAAGAACCAGCCTGGAGGGCAAATACATTTTGTCTCGCTGAGGTACTGATCAAGAGCGACGCAACGGAAGTCGCAACCACAACCGCTAATAGCAGGAATAATGTAAACCTCTCCAGCTCCGTGATTTATTCCCGGTTGGAAGTGAACATGCATAAGCCCGCGACTGGCGTAGGAGAAACCACCTTCGCCATTGCTTGGTTCCTTATAACCGGTATTACCACCTAAATCATTACACCACACAATAATTTTCAAAAGTTCCATGAAATTTGAAAATTTACATTATCGAATTAAATTCAACTGCTTGCAGATAAATAATGTATCTATCCAGGGAAGATTCAAAATTTGATCTCAAAGTAATAGAAAAGAATTCGCAAGTTAATTAACACTGAAACAGGATAATTTCCTAAAAAAAAAAAAAATTCATTTTATAATCGCAATTATTTCTCAACTTGCTTTTCGCGTACTTATGGAAGGAAATAGTGAAATACGAAATATTCGAGCAACTAATTTAGCTACTTACAATTAAGAATTATAACTGAAATTTTTAAAAAATTTTACACGAATATTATTAAAATTCTACTACGTTAAAAATGAAATATCAACGAAACTAAACCACACAGAAAATAGAAGTACGAATAGTAACAATTCCTCGTCGAGACGATATTTCAATTTCGATTCCCAGTGTACCAAAACACAACGTGCCAATTTATCTCTACTGCGTAACTACAACAGTGTTCAACACTAAACATTCCATTACTCCAGTTGAAACTGTTCCGAATTTCAAACGCGACTGTAATCGAAAGCAACGTACAACCCGAACTGCAACTGTCCGCGATGAATTGTAAATTCGGCGGATCCGTTTAAAATTACGATTTAACACCGATTTCGTTACCTATGTAACCGCCGCCGCCGCCTCCTGTACGACATCCCCCGCCTCCGCCCCCGAATCCTCCGCTTCCGTGACTCCGATTTCGTGGCCCGCAACCAATTCCTCCTACGCCACCCTTAACTAGGGGCGCGCCAGCGGAAGTTCGTTGATCCGAAACTTTGCTCGATGACCCATTCCAACCGCCGCCAGGTCCACCTGCGCCGAACCAAATTTACGTAATTAACACAGTTTCGAAGCGGTTGCACAACTAAATTGATGCGCGTTAACTGGAGCGCGAGGCACGCGAAATAACCCTTAAATAAAATTGAAGCGTTGTTCGTTAATCTTCGGCTGGAAATTTTAGAGAACGTGAAATTAGGAATTTTCAATTGGAAACTTAATCTGGTTATTCGTATCGTCTTTCTAATTTTGTAGAATGTGAAATTCTTTTTCCAGTTCACTATGATCATAGAGAAATTACGTTGAATGCACAATTTGTTTTTTAAAAGTAGAAATGTACAGGGTGTGTCAGTTTTTTGTATTTTTGTTGCAACTTGTTTTACGAAGCTTCGCGTTAATGCTCGTGGTTGTGGCGATGAACTTTCGAGCTTCGTGGATGTTTGCACGATGTTGTGCCGAAGGACCACCCAAATGATTGGGACTTGTAAAAATTGATCTATGGTATCGCGTGATGTGAGCTGGTTGCTCCTTGGTTCTCCTTGTGGTTGAGCGACTACTCGACGACTCAACTCTCCGACGTCGCGTCTCGGGCGTCCGTGAGAGGGATTTTTCTTGGGATACGCTGATTGGTTAATGGTTAACCAATGGCTAATATCGTCTTTACCGCCCTTCCAGTGCGCCCTTAGCGCGCTGTCACCTTGGAAGGGTGGGAACGTCCGTGAGAGAGATATTTCTTGGGACACGCTGATTGGTTAATGGTTAACCAATGGCTAATATCGTCTTTACCACCCTTCCAGTGCGCCCTTAGCGCGCTGTCACCTTGGAAGGGTGGGAGACGGTCGCGAGGGGTGGGCGGAAGGTCCCAAAAATCTGGAATTTCCTCGGGGTGACTAATCGGCAAGCGGACCGTTACATACAGATGTGCCGTTCGGAAATTCGTGGTTTATGGTATGTTCGTAGGCTATTGAGCGCGAAGGACACAAATTACTAAAAATCTAGCAAAGCAATTCTAGTGACCCTCGCAGGATGTAATTAGACCCGTGCAAGCAATAAACGAAAATCCTCAACTCAAAAACAACCGTTCCTGTCGATCGTGCCATAAACCGTTTCTACAGAAAACCTAACACTTCGAACGACTGAAAAAGTTTGATCGAAAAGAAAACTGGACACCCTGTATATGTAAGTAGGAAGTATATTTTTGATTAGATAAGATTCTAAGGAAGAGGTTAAAAATAGTAACGATGAAAAGAGGTTGAAACCGGTATAGACGTTTGTAACATTTATGCGTTTATTAATATTATTTACCTGCTCCTCTGGAGAGAACTGTACCGGAAGAGGGCTGTCTTCCGGAAGGTGCAGGTCCCTGACCGTGTTGCAGACCGTTGTCGACAAATTGTCCCAATCCTAAACCACCACCACCCGCGGCGATAATTAACGGATGCTGGTCTCCGTTGTTTTTCAACTGTAACGCAGAAATAACTGTGACCAAAGAGTAATCTGTGTTGTATGTTACTTTAAGGGGTCTTCCTACTGTGACGGGTTTGAAAAAATCAATTTTTCTTTTTTTGCTTTTTCTTATAGTTTAACATCTGGAAAATATGTCCAGGCAGTTTTCAAGCTTAATTCTAAAAATTGACAGAGATATACGCCTTGAACGAAAGCGGTTTTGTACAGTTTTAAACTGTAGTTGAAACTTTAAACGCGTCTTTCTCGAAACAGCATTTTTGAAACTGGCTGGCACGATTACCAAAAAACGAGAAGTCCGATTTACTCGAAATTTGTCAGGTATATTTAGTAGATGTTGCTTTATCGTCTGAACTAGAATTGTGCGAATATTTTCAAGATTCAGTCTTTGCGGTTAAAAAAACAATCACTTTTTTGCTAAAATCGAAAGCAATTTCTTCGAAACCTTGCCGTTTCTTTATTTCTCGATATTTTTTTATTATTCCAGTTCAGAAGATAGACACACGTCTACAGACTAAGAATACGTTCGCATTTTGTATTTTGGATAAGAGTACAACGTCTGATATGATGTCAGCCGTCGGGAAGGATATTTTTCAACGCGCTCTCTTCACGCCGGTCCTATTTCACAACAAACGGATATTTTCACTCGTAAAAAATATTTTTGCGTTCTCAAAAGACGTTAGAACATACACAGAAATTTGCAAAAGGATACGTGCAGCACTTGCTTCGTTTTAAATTTCCGAAAAATTCAGTTTTCTTCAGCCGTCACAGCAGGAAGACCCCTTAAGAAATCCTTTCGCTTACTGTAAAAACGTAAGTTGCACCTCCGCCGCCACCTCCGCCATCCTCGATCTTAATTTTCCTCACTTCGTGTACTTTCGAGGAAGATCCTGGAGGAGGAGTCGATCCATGCGTGCCGTCTTTCTGGCAGATATCTATCGTTGATCCTAAATTCTGCAAATTTCATTCGCAATTTGTAATTAGTGGAAATTCCTAGGAAAGGGACAGCAACAAGTTATCAGAAATACAGCAGAATTTCGATAGTCTGTCAGATTATCGGAATTCTATTGTATCTGAAATTTTAATCGAACGTTATTATTAGGTTGTCCGGAAATAAATTGCGGTTTCCTGTTATGTCATATTTAGGGCTTTTCTATACTATATATTTAAAATTTATGTTTGTTAAGTAATATACCATTTGAACGCGTAGACGTCGCTCTATCATATAAGCTATACACTTTTGTTTTTTACCGTCGTTTGTTCCGAGTATAACTTAAAAACGTGACAATGGGCAAGAAGCAAATTCGTACCATATTTTTGGATGAATTTAAATTAGGACGTAAAGCCGCGGAAACTGGCCGCGATATCAATCGTGTATTCGATGAAAGCACAACTAACGATTATAATGCGTAAAAAGTTATTTGTTGAACAACCAAGTTTGGTAAACAATAATGCCCGCCCGCACGTATCACAATTCACGATTCGGGAGATACACGAATTGGGTTATGAAACATTAAAACACCCTCCTTATTCCCCCGACTTGTCCCCTACAGATTACCATTTTTTTAAACACTTCGATAACTTTTTGCGAGGAAAACTCTTCCGCAATAAAGAGGATGCTGTAAATACCTTCGTGGAATTTATTAACTCTAGAACTCCTGATTTTTATTGCAATGGAATTGGAACTCTTGCGAAACGTTGGAGAAAGTGTATAGAATCTAATGGAGATTATTTCGATGAAATAAATTCATTCTAGGCAAAACTACGCGTCTTTAAATCTCACGTACAGAAACCGCAATTTATTTCCGGACAACCTAATATTATTACTTCATATATAATCGAGATTGATTTTATTTTTATTGTATTCCACATGACAAGTGATTCTTACTTTAGGACACGCATCAGTTCCTGGCTGTCCAACCATGAAATACAGCTGCTCACCCTTTTTTAATTCAATTACACCGCGAACAAGTGCACCCAGCGTGCTTCCCATACCGCTAGATCCTTTTCCTCCACGAGCACCCATTCCGATCAAACTGAATTCATGAAACAAATATTTTTCTCCTTTTTTTTTCTTAAATATGTAACGACGACGTTTAGCTTGCACCGTTTACAGTGGGTGATCAAATTAATAGAGTCAACTGCAAAGATTTGACGATTTTGCATTTTAACCCTTTGCGGACGGGGCGGCTCGAAGCCAAGGCGTTCCGCGGGGCCGAGCCGATGTCGCGGTAGTCGTTTGAAATTGCCAGCGCCCATTTCTGCCTACACGCTAATATCGTTCATAGCACTCCAAGATGTCTAGTTCTGGGTTTATCGGTCATAGCGACGTGCTTACGTGGGACACATACATATATGAGTGTTAAGGCTTCGTTAGAACTAGTTTATGATACGGTCGCCTTTAGACGCTATTTTTGAAAAGGCAAAGTTTTACCCGTACCTGAATAGGTGGTAGGTGACCTTAGCATTAGCTAAATTAATTTTCTGTCTCTCTCAATAGCAATTACCGTGTCGTAAACTTTAGGGAACCCAAGAGTCGGACGGCCACGGTGACCCGATCAACGGTACCGCGCTGACGTCACCCTGGGCCTTTCCCCGTAGGGGTGAGAAGTCGCTCATCACCCCCGCTCCGAATCCTTCCCGCTACCTTTCCACAAATTCCATCCACCAATTGAATATTCGCATTTTTGTCACCCCGTTTTCCACTTCCATTCCCCTGTCAACCAATCAGTGCCATCACCGATGCTTTAAAAACACGCGTAAACGTGTCTTAGGGATAGTTAAGAATAGTCAATAGTAAAGGGAACACAATTGCTAAGAATAATAGAAGAAGAGTTATTATAATTTTATAATTTATAAACGAACTCTAGTCGGCACATCACGTGCAATCTCTACAAAGCTCGATAGGAATCTCATTGAGATCCGATCACGAGCGCTAACAATGAGTCTTTCGGCCCTATAAATTGTTTTCGCCAAACGCATGTATGAGTTCCTCGGCCAAATTATATGCGGCGGTAGTCCACAAAGGGTTAACGATTAATTTTTAGACGAAAGCCTGACGATAATCTAATTTTTAGATATCGATTCTGGCCTGTTTCAAAACTTTTTCGTCCTTGCGACTTTGGATCGCCTCAAGGTCGTTTCAAAAACATATGCTGAACTTGATTTTTTCTGTACTTTCGTAATACTGAAACGAAAATATAGCATTCCATTTAAAAAACACGAGACGACCTTGGAGGTAAAGAAAATTTTGTTTCAGTGTCATTCTACGTAAAAAATGATGATAAAAGTCTCCTTACATTTTTGTCCTATTTTTGGCACTTGTCGTGGGGCACCCCCTATAGTAAATTATTTAAAAAAATTGAAAATATGCCCAAAGGAGTCACAAGGCGGTAATTGCAGCAAAAAGTGTATTGTTGCTTCTCAACTGTGAAAATTTAGTGGACAATTGTGAATTAAAAAATTATTCAGAGTAAAAACCTCGATATTGTAGGCAAAATTTAGGGTTTGGGGCGGCCCACGTGGTCGTCAGCCGCGCCGATCGGGACGGTGGCCAGGTTTATGGTGCCGATGTGACCGTAGGTAAGACGTGCCATAAATCTGGTCACCAGAAGTAAAGGACGGAAAGCGACGTTCCCCGGGCGAAACGGTTTTTCCGCCAAAATCGCGATAGAAGGGGAACGTCGTAGGGGTACGTCCGAAAACAGCCCTAATTGGCGGAGAAAAGAAACGCCCTCGTCAAGGGAAGGTTTAAAAACGAATAGCGTGAGGAAAAATAGTGTGTGTGTAAAGCGAACTTGGAGTGAGAAAAGTACATTGAAGGAGCGTGGCTGAGAATAGGACTCGTGTCCGTGAAGAATAAACTATTAGTTATTTGTTAGAAATAAACTGTCTCGTCTCTCGCCCAAACCTCTCTCCATCCCGGACTCACCCTACAATATTATGATTTTCTTTCTGCACAAACACAGAAACATGTTTTTCCTATCGTGGCTCTAATAATTTGATCACCCGCTGTATATTGTGGTATACATATTTATTTCTTCGAGGAACTTCAGTGCGTTCGACGACCAAACATTGTGCGCTTTGTAAATTACGAATAAGTCTATGGAAATTTTTATCTACGATAAATTCTCACGTGTAATATCCACCGCGTGGCGCAGTCCATCGTTGAACACCGTTTAAGTTAAATAAACGAAGATCTTCCGCTCCTGGCGAAGGTACCATCAATTCTATATCTGTTCGATTGTATTCTTCGGCGCATTGTTCAGGTGTAGGACCTATTCTACCACTATTTCCGCACGTGGTAATTCGTATTACTGGAAATAGGCAAAAAGTGTGAATTTTACAGATACTTTTCGAATAAATGTTAAAGTTAACAGTGATAATTTTGTTAGAATACACGGTACCAGTTTCGTTAACAAAATCTACGTGCTGATCCGGGATTTTCTCCGAATCAATAATAGGATTGTAGTAATTGAAATCTCCCACGACTTCGGGAGGAACTCCTGATAAAAATAAAGCACACTTGTTAAATGAATATTTGTTAAAACAACTACATGTAATTAGATCGATTAAAAGTTTCAAGGTTTACCAATGCCAAAACATTCCGGGCTCAGAGAAAAGTCATCGATCGCCACGTCGCCTTTTGACGAGTAGCTTCTGCTTGCACCGAATTGAATAAAATATCTAGGTGAACAGTATACGCGTTATACCATTTGAACGAAGTAAAAAATATGCAGAATAGATCATTTTTCGAGGTATTAACCTTCGGACGCCGGAGGCCGGGTCACTTTTGACCCAAAATTCAGAAGCTTCAATCATCGATGCGTTTGTTATTTTAATCGTAATATTGGATTGTTAGGGAAGTTCGTAGCGAAATTTAAGCCGTGTTACCTCTGTTTCTAATTGTCACAGCGATAAAAGTTAAACGGTATTTTTCTCGACAGTTGAAGGCGAATCCAACTCACTGCTCGAATAATTCGTAAGGTGAACGGGGGTGGATATTGTAGGATCGGGGCCTCCACACCCAAATAGGAAACCTCGAAGGGAGAATAGAGAGGGAGTGGTTGGCGTAGCGCGCAAAGCCTCGGCTTGGTGAGCCAGCCGAAGGTCCTCAGGTTCGATTTCCGTTGGGTCCCTCAATATTTTTCCCTAGGTTCCTACAAAATCAATCATGTTTCATAAATCGTATCAGCACAAGGTTTATACTAACAAAGAAGAATGGTTTTACTTTCTCAGTAATGAAGCACACGTCGAAGACATGATCCAGTGCATGAAATGTTAAAGTATGAGTTCAGGAAACTTGCGGAGGAGTATTAAAAGCAAACAGAAATTTATTACTGTCCCAACTGTGAATGAAAAATATGTTATTTAATAATTATTAATTTTCGTCGAATATTTCCTTCCTTATTTGTTATTGATGAAATATGATTTAATATGAGATATGAATTAATATGTTACTTTTTAAATGTAATATTTTTCAAACGATTCCTATACTCATCCATATTTTTACTAGCATTCGCAAATTTAGTATTTTTAAAGAAGGTACCCAAATCATGCCTGTCTCATGATATCAAACAAAGGCTTATAACAAATTAATCTGTTTGCAGTAAATTGAAAAATTGTTAGACTTGTTAAGCTATGTGTTTGCAACAGATCAAACACAGAATAAGATACAAACGTAGCTCTAAAAGAGAAACATAAGTTATTTATTACATACAACCGACAAACGTTATCTAACCAATCATTATTCACGCCATAAACTTTTCTTTTAAAGGGTTACGCCACCTTGGTGACGTCAAAAAGAAAAAAGATTGAAAATATTTTTTCCAGTAAAATGATACTTTGAACTTTTAAAAATAATATGCGAAAGATATTGAAAAATATGTCGTAGTAACAAAAATATTACTCTGAAACTGAAAATATGTATGTTGAATGTAGATGTGGCTGATCGAGAGCTTTCACCTTCGTCTTTATTAAGCCTTAGATCATCTTTGTATAGAGACATAAAACATTATAGGGATAATTTATGAAGATTTCAGAGTTTTCAAGTAGTTTTCAAAATATTGGAATAAAGAGCCAGCAAAAGGTCCATTTTCTCATTAGAATGTTATTATTTCTACAATTTTTGGAATTTCAAAAAATTTTTTAATGTTATTATTTCTACAATTTAAAATATTATTTCCACAATTTTTGGAATTTTAAAAAATTTTCGTATTATACGACAGAGAATACCTTTAACCCTTTTGCTGCGGCACGTGGAAGACGAAAAATTCTCGCTCGTGTGCTGGACGAAACAGTTATTATTCAACGCTGGCTTAAAAATAAAGGTAACTATGATTGAAAATCAACTGTATCGTGATAATCAAATGTGTGATGCGTTCTGGTGTTATCTTACTTTCAATCGACAGCGATATTTTACTTGCAAAGTGCGAAAATAAATTAATAAACTGTACAGTATTAGATGGGCGTATATGTACGCTCTTCGTAGCGAAAGGTTTAAGGATAAGAAGATCGTTGAATTCTTGTCTCGAAACTACATATCGACAAATCACTGACGTGCTTGTAAACGACGCCATTTTCTTCCTTACAAATATACGTGCATAAATAAACAAAAATGTTTTTTAACGCTCGTAAAATGCTTTATGTACTGTTAAAAAAGATATCCATTTCAACCGAACACTTAAACTTCTTCTAAAAAAATTTATAATTATTCAACACCTTGTACGTGTCCATTATGTTTGTTATGTTTAAAATTAGCGAAGAAAAACAAATGTATACAATAATTGTATTCAATTTCGCATATTTTAACGTTTAGTTTATTGTTGAATAAAAACAATAAAATAACCATTAGGAATTTTTTACAATTATCTGTGCCATGAAATACATAATACCTAACTTAAGATAACCTAATCTATATGTAGCGAAAGAAATTTCTAGTAATTCGGTTAACAAAAACACTCTTTTCTTCCAAATAAGACGAGAATTTACAAATTCGACGAAAAAAATTCGAAATTTCGTTCTGCATATTTTTACACATTTTCAACTTGTTAACGTCTCTTTTCCATTAACCAATGCGTATTTACAATTCGAAGTACACTGTATGTGGAGAAAAAGTTTACACTTCCACGACGATTATTTACCGTTAGTTACCGCGACGATTTTATTTCGATCTCAATTCGAATGCAAATGGTTCCGTGAGTTGCGCGTCGTTTCGTATTTTTCTACTCCAGTTACTGGTTACCATTACCTCGAACGGGAAAAGTTCGGAAATTCTCCTCGCTGGATGTCTAATTAACGCACTTGTCACATTGTATCATTATTTTTCTACTCCCTTCTCGATGTGATAAAACGAGCGATCGATAAGCGATATCGACAATTAGCTATCTCGATTCTCCAACAAATTGTTCACGTGCCGAACGCGCGATACCATTGTTAATTGTCAAATAATAAAATTTTATTTTAATTTGCAAACTGAGCGTATTCGTTGGTGAAGAGATTTCTTTTAATTTTTCAATTACACGAACTTTTTCGTACGAAGAAAAATTACAAGAAGCATTTTCACGATGAAAAATGGACAAGTAACATTTTAAATAGAACTGTTAAAATGAACGTAGAAATATTGTACGAAGTTAGTATGTTATTAGGTTGGTGCAAAAATAATTGCGGTTTTGAAGCGTGAACTTTAAAATAATATATCTTGGGTTAAAATGAAGTTATTAAATCAAAATAGGAACCATTCGATTCTATCCATTTCTGCCAACGTAATACAAGTTTCTTTATTCCAGTATTATAGAATTCTGGTATTCTAGAATCGATGGACTCTTCAAATGCGTTCTCGGCTGCTGCTTGAGTCTTGAAGTTCTTCTCACGCAGAAAGTTTTCCAGATGATTGAAAGGATGATAATCCGTCGGAGAAAGGTCCGGCGAATACGGTGGATGAGGCAAGGTTTCGTATCCTAGTTCGTTGAGTTTTTGAACGGTTCTTTGTGAGACATGTGGTCGGGTGTTGTCGTGCAATAGAATAGATCCCTTTAGATTGACCAGGATTGGACATAAATCTTTCAACTTTTTATGCATTTTGTCGATTTCGTGACAGTACTTCACTGCTGTAACAGCTTCGCCAGGTTTGAGAAAATTATAACGTCCCAGTTTATACTCGTACAATAATATCGCTCGAATTTGCTTTTTTTCCATCTTCACTTTGCTGACCAAATACAGCTACAAATAAACAGTCGAAACAAGTCACAGACATACGTCGATAAATGGTATACTACATGAACGTAGTTACAAAACAACTCACTTCAGACTGATAACTCGAGTTTTTAGTGGCGAAAACCGCAGTTATTTTTGCACCAACCTAATAGAAATGATACGTAGATTAAGTAGTTAAAAGTTAGTGCAATTAGTTAGAGAAAAATCGAACTTGCTTCGTTCATTACCAGCAAGTATTTCTTTGAAAAATTATATTTTTCGTTCCAAGCAATATTTTCATATTGCAACATATAAATAGAAAAAGAATTGTTTATGTTAACCTATAAATTAACTAACAAAGACATTTGTGGGAAGCATTTGTAATGCTTCTTGAGAAAGGAACCAATTCAGACGACCCTAAACTATCTCCCTGAAACTGTTTCTCATTATTATGTCTGATCTGTTTACTTCGAAACTGGGGCAAGTCCATTTTTGAGAAAAATGAAATTAACGGTAACAATAGATAGAACTTAATAACTTTTCATCTCTAAACAATCTATAGTCGAACAAAAAACGGGCTTGCCCCACATTCGAAACGAACGGCTCATATCGCTTCCATCGACTATACGTCTCGTGTGTACCGACAAAATTACAAATACTAGCCGCATGTATTGACCATTGGAGGCTGGAATGATTCACTCGTCGTTTAATCTAATTTTCCCCTATTTTCATCATTCTGGGTAAACAGTTGTTTATTTATTGCCTCGCAGAATCATTCTAAGCAAACAATTGTTCATTGGCTGTTTACCAGCCACCGTCGGTTTCCTCTGGAAAAGCAAGCTTTTTTTGATAAAGACTGAGTCAAGGTTTACTCTATTTCCAGTCAGTGGTAACCTAAAAATTGGTGACACACATATATATATATGTGTATCGTCGAGATAAGAAGATTATGTAAATGATAATTCACCGAAGGAAAACATTGTCAATTAAGAGTTATTCTTTCTCTCTTCGAACGACTATTTAAAGCTTCCCCCCACCACCGCCGCCACGCTCCTCCTATATATATATATATGTATATATCAATAAACAGGAATTTGTTTCGATGACGTAATCGAGCATCGATAGAAAAAATTCAAATTCCATCGATGAATTGTTTTTTTTAAACGTTTATACTGGATGAGATTGGAAATCCAGTTTCTGTAGAACGATGATTTTGCTTTAATGTTTGAAATGTTGCACGTCTCCCAAAAAGTTGAGAAACAGTGTTTCGGCTGAGAGTGCCACTGTGTGGGGGAGTGTGCCCGAAAGTGTTGAGTTGTGATGCACTGAAGGACATTCGAGGGCGAATGTCAGTTCAGGATGGCCGAGAGTGTAGTATCGGGGCCTCCATACCCAAAAAATAGGAAACCAGCACGGAAGAATAGAGAGGGAGTGGTTGGCGTAGCGCGCTAAACCTCGGCTTGCTAAGTCGCGAAGGTCCCGGGTTCGATTCCCATTGGGCCCCTCAATATTTTTCCCTAGGTTCCTACAATATTGTTCGATAAGTATAACAAAAATGAAATCTAAAGCCTTCCTAAGAAGTTATGAGTTCCTTTTGCCCGCGTCCCAAGAAATCCGTTTGGCTTTTACTAGGCTTTAAAGGCCCTTCGGTCCCAAGCGGGGTCGCAGGCAATTTTCGGGCGTTGCGTTGGAACGTTTTTACTCCGCGTACAGTGCTCTTGCTAGCAACTTAGAACAACGAACCTTCCTTGTGTGTAATAAAGATTACAGTTTAAAATAAGAAATATTTCATTATTTAATAATTCATAAAACCCATAATCCAATAGATATAAGTCGAATTATATGTTTTGCAGTGGAGCGTGGATGTTGAATTTTTCATGGCAACGCTCTGTTGGATACCAACCTACCGACATGACTCATGGATGCTAGCCGATCGCGTTGGTATCTTAAAAACGCCAGCGCATCGCGAACACTCATTTCTTCCAAAAATTTTGCAGTTAGTTCTTAGTCACCTAGAACCTTTGCCACTTTCCTAGACCTTTTACCCCAACCCCTCTCTAGTCCCTTCCACGTCCTTTTGCAATCCCTATAAATATAACAACCTCAAAAGCGCCGGCACTCATTATATTCCATATCTTTGTACGATTCACAACGTGTTTAGACTCCTGAATAAACCTCTTGTTAAAATTTTATAAAGTATTGTACACGTTCCGTCACCCGGAATCCAACAGCTCCACCGCAGAAAGTATAATTCGCTTTAGAAGCAATTTTAGAGGTACGTTGGATTTATCTACGAATAACGAGTAAAATACCTTTCGGTTCTTCGTCGCTATCTCGATTAGAAACAGAGATACGTCAGTTTGAATTTTTCCTACATTTCGCTACGAACTTTCCTGCCCGCCCAATATATTTCGTACAATTTTAAACAATGTAATGTCTAGTGAAACAAGAGGAAAAGTGTTTTCGCTCGCGTAGGAAGATTTTAGCGTTGGGTCATATTTGACCCGGCTATCGTCGTGCGTGTGATTATCTCTTCATCCGCTGTCCGATGGTTAAAGCGTCGAATACTTTGGTAAATAAATACTACCTGTATCTGATATCAGGTAGAACGATAGCTTGACCGTACCAAACGTCACTTTTGTCTCCGTAAGACCGCCACAATAATTCCGAATGATTTTGGTGCGGTTTCACTTGAACCAAATATAATTCAAGCGAACCGCTGTTCACACCATACTGATGATAAAAGAATCGTACCTATGCATACACGTACATGTGAATTTGTGTTTTGAGGTTTATACACCGTTTAGTTTTTTTTTTTTTCTTTTCAGTTAATTATAAGGAAACATACTTGACAGGATTGATAATAACGAGTACTGTTGTCGCTACTATAAGGCGGCGTTGGATTATACAGTGGACTCTCGATGGTTCCCTGACTTCCGTATAGCCCTCGTTGAGACATGTTTACGTAGGCGTACGTTCCTGTAATTGAATCGTTAAAATTTGTATCGTTCAATTTTCAGTCTGAATTGAATCACTTAGGAGGCAAAGCGACTAACTCGATAAAATTAGATTTGTTACATTTGTTTTATTTATGAAAAAATTAAGCATTAAGCGTGTGTGCTTTGATAGTAAAATTGGAAGAATATCGCAAAGCGGAGATAATCATTTTGGCCTTTGAGTGGCTTAATTAACGGTCGTATCGTGAAAGTTTGGGATTGAAAATTATCCGAATGCAGTGAGAAGCTTCGAAAAGCATGCGGCTGAAAAAATTTGTTTGCATTGAAATTAGGTGTTTTCCTTAATTACTAAATATCTTCTTCTCTGCCATAAAATTTCTAAGCACAAAAATCAAAAGCAGTCTTAAAATAAATGCATAAATGCATTTTGAGAGATTTAAACGAGACGAAATATAGTTTTCATGAATGAAACTGTACTTGAATTGCAGTAACAAATATTCTACTACTATTTAAAATACTTCTTCGCAATCCACAATAAAAAAAAAAAAACAGAAAAGAAGAAATACAAATTTCTCTAATAGCCACGATTTTCATTATTACATTTCCAATCCGTAAAAAAAAAAGAAACACCGTTTCCTTTTACCTACCATGCTTCTGAAATTAAAACAAATTTTCTCTACCATCTCATCTTAAAAAAAAAAAATATTGCAAGTAACACTTGGCGAATAAAAAATGATTTAAAAAATATTTCCCAAGAAGATCAATCTAGACGATTTAAAGTAATCAAAATATTACCAATATTTACGTAGGTAAACCAAAAATGAAACAAATTTTCCCTCCTATCTCGTCTCAAAAAAAAAAAAAAATTACACGTTATCACTTCACGAATAAAAAATGATTTAAAAAATATTTCCCAAGAATATCAGTCTCGACGATTTAAAGAAATAAAAATATTAACAATATCCACGCGAGTAAGTAGATTTCAACCGAATGGAAAATGCGAAATTCTTCAGAATGCATGTGCACGCGTAGAGACGTATGTTAGCTATATACACACCGGACGCATTGCGGTATGTATGGTCGTAACTAGGTCCAGTTTTCTCGGACGGCGTTGCGCCACGGTGGCGGGTCCAATTTAAAGGTCTTCCTGGTACGTTCCTCCAGCCGCACCATCCCTCCTCGAAATTACATCTGGCGTTCTTCGGTATTTTGTCTGAAAACGTTTCTCAATTATACACACTCTCTACTGTCGCACGTTCCACTTGCGATCAACCGTATGTGAAAACGTCGCAAACAATAAATTCGACAATTACCACAGTCGAGTCCCTCGTCTTCGCCGTCGGCGCAGTCTTTTGTTAGGTCGCAGACACGTGTTCTGTTCAAACAAGAACCGTTGTTGCAGAGGAACATATCTTCTGTGCAGGCCGTTCCTACCGGTGTTGATTCTGCGAATAGGATGCGTTTATTTTTTCCTTTCTTTGGATATGTATTTATATGCGTTGGTGTTTGTGCTGTATTTTCGGGTGTTTAGCTTATGCCGCGCCAAACTTTCTAGAAAGTTAGAGATTCTCGGGATTTTTCTTCACGTGTATCGTTGCTCGTGCTCTATTTATTCAACGGGAGGATTTACCGGGAAATCTGACGATTCTTGCGTCTGGACGCGATTATACGACTCTACTTTATTTCTTGCTTAGGGAGTACAGAAAATTTTCTTTTTATTTTTGTATAATTACGAGTAATATGCGAGTGGACAATGGAGTACTGTCGTGGATAGGTCTGAATTTAATTTGTTTATATTGATCGATAAAAATCTGCGTTGAATAGGTGGATGAGAAGATTTTATGCGATGAGAAAAGTGAGGGAGTGAATTTGTCGAAATGTGGGTAGAAAGTAATTAAGTAACGGAATAATGTTAGAATAAATTGATATTATTGTAGCGACCAGCTACAGCGAAGAACATTTGGCGAGCAGACTACCAGCACGGTTTATGACGTGCGCGCTTCAAAAGCTATTTTTGAGGAAACCGTTTTTAGCTTATTTCATTTCTAGAAATTCGACAATGCATGTCCGCGTAGAAACTTTCTCCGACGGCCTCAATAGCAAATTGCCGCGTCATAAACCAAGGGTTTCCGAAAGGTCCGCCGTACGAGGCCCGGACCGGCAGGTCACGAGTACCTGACCTGGAGGAAACTCAGCTGTGTCACCAAATGACGTCACGGGAAAACCCTCCCCCGCCAAGTCGCACTGCGGTCCCCGAAAAAGCGCGCCAAGGGCGCAAGGGACACGCAGCGACTCGGAAAGAAATTACCTGATTGGTTAACACCGATGCGACGGGTTAACCAATCAGGGATGATTAACACTTAGCCGAAAGGCAGTAGGAAAAAAGCGAGGCGACAGGAGGGCAGTCTTGCACGGACCTCCAAAGCCGTAAGTCAACAACTAATAAAGATCTCACTACTACCGTGTTGGTACATAGCGTAACCCTAGTCACGCCTTGTTATTTATTCGTAACAACATTCCTTCATTATAATAAAACACTTTGACTGCCACGCCGAAATCACATGTTTCGCTCAGGACGCCACGGGAGTATTTTTATTGTTGAAAGCATATAATGGCAAAATAATAATAAATTGATGATATAAGACAACATTCTTACCCAATGGAGCGTTTATCATATTGGTGGTCACGGGTGACCAAAATGTTAAACTGTTAGGATCAAAAATTGCTAAAAATCGAACTAAAAAGGTGACCACCTACTGTCCAGATTGCATTGATGAGCCACATTTATGTTTAAAGTGTTTTAACACATTGCACCGTTAGATGCAAGATTTGTTCTAATATTTTTTTTATTGATGTTCTAATAAAAATTTTTAATTGTTCAATGGGGCACTTTTTATTTCAAAGTATCTTCTATTTATCGGTTATATTCAAAATGCACTAACCGTGAATTTTCATTCAATTTTTACAATTGTAAAAAGATGAAGCGCTCCGGTCACCAATGTGGCGTCACAGGAGAAACCGTGGCCGGTCATATATGACCAACGTGGCAGTCAAAGTGTTAACTAATATTATCGAAAGATCGATAAAAAAATCCAGAAAATTTGAATATTTATCGTAAAACGTAAGAACAGCCTGTAAGTAGAAGCAATAATTACCGGGGAAACAGTCGATTAGGCGAACATTATCAACCGCGATGCCAGAGTTAGAGTGGGGTAGCAGCATCTCTAGAAGTAATCGATGTGGCTGACTAATTGCACCCAGCTTGAAACTCGTTATTTCCCATCTGTAAATACAGCGCGAAAATTCTTTCTTATCGATACACACCGACAATCCTTTATCGTTACAACGATGAAACAGCAGTTAGTAGGTAGAAGGAAACAATCGAAGGATAATTACATACTTCTTATTATTATTTCCTGGTTTCTCCTCGGCGATCGAACTTGTATTATTCGTGATTATGAGCAAGCTGATAGCGCCGTCGCTCATTTCAACTTGGTACAGGGATAATTCTAACATGCATCGCGATCCGGTACGGGGAATCGCGTAAGACCACATTTGTGCCTTTCCATTGCCGCTGAACCACAAGAAATGCCCTGGCGAAAAAAGGAGGCAACGTTAAGAAACGTATATTTTACAGTAATACCGTTAACGTAACTCGGTAACATTTATAGCGTGATATTAAGCGTTTGCAATCGACTGAGAAGCGACATTAAGGGGGTCTTCTGGTGTGACGGCCGTGTTTTTAGGCCTTCTTTGTTAATTTATTACAGAAGTACGGTAACAGTTATCAACATGAGCTTTATTCCTGTGTATTTACTTGTCCTTGAAGAATCGTTGCAAATTTTTGTTGTTGAAAAATAATTAAATATGGCTGCTGTGGAACACGTGAAACAGGAGCATGAACAAAAAAAGTAGGACCATGGTTACCACGATTTGAGCTGTTCTGCTTATCAGAAATAAAAAAGTCCAATTGATTCTTATTTAGTATGCACGTCGCTACGGTCGGTAGTAGAATAAAAGAATAATATTGAAAATTAAAAAACTGGCGTCACTTTGAATACGAAGTATCGATTTTTTCGACTTTTTCTCGTCTGTCAGAGGCTCCAAAAATCAGAAAAACATATACTTTGGCATAATTCTAATACCGACCATAGCCACACATGTTCTGAAGACACGTGCAAAATTTGAGTCCGATTGGTTCGGTAGTTTTCGCCAGATCGTGGCAACCATTTTTCAGTGCAATTTAGATTCTCCCTTGATGTGTCACACTAAACGAGCTGTAACTTCGTTATTTTATTCAATACAACTATAAAGCTTCAGGAGTACATTCTTAAAGAGTTGTACTTTCGATATATGCAAAAAAATAAAAATCGATTTTTCGAAACCGTCACACTAGAATACCCCCTTAACTGTCGCTTGGTAAACAATGAACGAAGACAGAGAGCAGATCTATGGGCCTCCGTGAATTTGCTCGCCATAGTGAAATAGAGAATGCATCGAATATTTAAATAAAATCGCATAGTTTACTTCTACGTTAGTTTCAAAAAATTTTGTTAAAGTATTCAAAGTGTTTTTTTCAGAAAGACTATCTTTCCCCGAGAGCACGCGTGGCTTGAGCTGTTCCTCCCTTGCGCGCTCGTGTACGGTTGCAGCATCCCGCTTTATCGAGGATCTTTAATTAGCGAATAAAGATTGACTCAATTGACTGCAGAGGGAAAAAACGTTTATTGATAGAAATGAAATACAAAAAAACGGAGGCGAAAACCCGAGTGAAGAACAGGTACTCGCACGACTGCTTAAAATGCGGAGAAACATATGTTATATACTCGGCATCGCCCCACGGTCAGCGGACCCATGGCTTTTGTGGCCCGACCTGGGCCTGTGGTTGTATAACTCGTGATAATAAATTCAATAGCAATATATTTTATAACAATAATTATAAACACACGTAAAAAGAAATAATGATAATTTGATCAACGGTCTCTTATCATATCTCGCAATAAATTCTCACGTACTCACTGATATCAATAACAACGCGCTTCCACTGTTTTACTCCGAGTTACCCTGTATGATCCGCTCGTTTTCAAAATCTCGAGACGATTCGACAAACACACTACATTCACGCCATCACTCACAGCTTATTATTAAACCAATTCCACAGGGCCTACGTTAAGCAGAGAAACTCGCAGTAGGTGTCGTATACCTCTCTCCTATCTTTCATTAGTTTTTAGTCATCCTGCCTCCTTTCCTTAACTGTAAACAAATCCGCATCATCCTAACGTTAGTCACCCCGAAACCTAGACCTCCACATCATCCTTTACTCATCGCTGAACCTAGACCTCACCGCCTCTCCCTACATTGACCTCTGAGACCAACCCCTACTCTCGTACTTACCGAACCTATATCTAGAAACCTTTTCCGTCGAAACAGCAGATTTTTGTCTAGTGGTCTTCACGCACCGAACGTCACCGAACTGTCTAATAAAGTCGAATAGTACTACGCGCAGAATAGCTCCCTTATTTCGCCCCAGTTCCCGTCAGGCTCTCCTACCGCGTACCTATTGAATATAATAAACCAACGCAAGGAATCGCGAGCCGCGGAATACAACATAGGAAGAGGAGAGAAAATTCAAAATATAATCTATTCTCAATACGGTTTTACCTCGGTTTTACGTTTATTACCTCGTGTTGACTAACTAAAAACCCAACAAATTTCAAAGAAGATCCGATTTGCGACCTTTCCTATAGCGAAATCACCGCCGAGTGCAAAGGGTTAAGTTCAACTCCCTGCGGTCGAGCCCCGAGACAAAAAAGTATTTTTAGCAAAATATTGATGAACTGACTGAAGGCGCGCTACCAAAAAATAATTTTGACCAATAAGACTACCGTGCCTATGGAAAATACGACCGCAAAGAGTTAAATGGCCTGCAGACCTAATTGACGGTTGAAGAGGTCTCGTCAAGTTTAGGAGGCACTGATTATGGGAGTTATTGGTTGTTAAATAATTAATAATCCTTATTTTAAACTATAAACTTTTTATTGGACACAAGGAAGGTTCGCTTTTCTACTTGATGGTAAGAGCACTGTATACCGACTGAGAATTCTCCTACGTAACGCCCTAATATTGCCTACGACCCCGCTTGGGACTGAAGGGCCTTTTGTCACGTATCATAAACATTTAGATCTTTACTAAACAGAGGTGGTAAGGCTAAACGGATTTCTCCGAACGTATACAAAAGTAATATATACTTCCTAGTAAGGCGTTAGATTAATTTTTGTTATATCTAACTGACTGATAAATCTAACATTTGACACGTTCAGGATGGTATGATCCAGCAATGGATCACCACATTTTCAGATTACATACTGAAAAATTTATGCATACCGATCCTTTTCCCAAGTACAGTTTCGACAACTACCTGCGCGTTTTCCACTTTCCCACCGAATTCCTGTCCTATCTACGGCAGATCCTCAAACTGATGCACTCTACCCATTTCTTTTGTACCGACTCCTTAAGTTCATTACCGAACCATTGTCCCTGCAATTCTTCTCCCGTACCATCGAACCCTCAATCCTAACGAGTCCTGATCATTATCCTTACACATTCCTGGTCCCTACCTAACGAACGCATTCCTAAATTCCCCCACTCGCAACTCCCAAAAGCCCCAATATAAAAGCAGCCTCGAAAAAGGACGAGGGACAGTCAGCATTGCATAACAAGGAAGTTTAGACCTTGCAGTTTATATCCGTAAAACCAACAGTGTAAAATAAAAGAAAAAACTTAATTACAAATAAAGATAATTTCTAAAATCCACCGTCTAAAGCGAACCGACGACACTAGGAAGTATATATTACTTTTGCATACGTTCGGAAAAATCTAGCCTTACCACCTCTGTTTAGTAAAGATCTAAATGTTTATGATACGTGACAAAAGGCCCTTCGGTCCCAAGCGGGGTCGTAGGCAATACTAATTGTTAATAAAAATAATAATAAAAAATATTAAAAAAATATTCCTTATCTTTTTTGTAGTTTTAACTTTGTAATAATTATCAGGAAATTTGTGTGTTACTTGGGCAAAGGGTGAGTAAATTATTGGAATCTTATTGGTATCTTTGAAATCTATTTTGGAAGATTATTGGGAATGTTATTCCAATAAAGATGTGTAACGAGATGCAACAAATTTAAGCTCATTTGGTTCTTCTCGATATTTGTGAAAAACTACCTAAACGTTACTATTTTGAACTTTTAATAAACTGATTGTTAATCCAGAATACGTTTATTTTCATATGTTTCGTGTTCTAAAAATTCTTCGTGAAAAAAGTATTTTTCGACATACTTCTCAGCTGTGCGAGAATATTGTTAAGTTTGATAACAGCTATCCGAATAGCAGAAAATGAATACGTCATTCAGTTTAAAAAAAGTAAGGGGGACCTGTTTGTCCCCCTAGGATTCTCCTCTTCTCCCCAAATTTGTTGCACCCCAAATGATTAGCCCCCCTCTGTCTCATTTAATATGAACCAAAATTCAAGTCGATGTCAGAAAACAGCTTGTAACAGTTTATCTGGCTCATCCTGTGTACCAATGGGCTTTAGGTTGTTTAAATTTTTTTTTTAACTTTACATCGGTATTAATTTCATTCGTTTTTCGATACATTCTCAATTGTCAATTCTTGTCTTCTTAGATAAATATTAATTTCATTCGTTTTTCGATATTTTCTCAATTGTCAACTTTTATTTCCGAAAGTTTCATTTTCCTTCTAATTTTCGTAATTGTGACAAGTAGACTGCGGATTTCTATGCAAATTCATATTTTCGAGAATACAGTAAGAAAAGGTGGAACTTCGGTAGAAAATTATTTCACCTAATCGGGTATTACGAAAAGCACTGTAATTTCTATATTTTGTGTATTTGTGTCATATTACCTGCATTCTGTGCAACGTTGTACCTTTAAATTTCCTACAAATGCATAAGAATCCGCAGTCTGGTGATAAGCAATCGGCTAATTTAAAAGGTTAATCAGAAAGAACAAAGCTTACCATTTTCGGAATTACTTGCGTCAGCGATAGGACCATATCTATCTGGCACAGGTTGCGTGACTCTTTTGAAACCGACTGATTGGTCCCAGGACCAATCGCAGGTCTTCTCCAGATCGCAGTGGCCGAGCTGGAGCGATCGACTCAGAGTCACCTGCAACTCGTTCGTCCCGCGCGGCATCCTTCCTTTCCAATCACAACAGGTGCCGGTGATGTAGCAAAGACCAAGAAAAATTCTCAACAAGAGATTGTCGCCAAGGCTGAATTTACGCCGCCAATTGTGCACGGTGTGACTCGCTTGTCTGAAATTCGCGGTCAACACCTCAGACCGCGTAGCTCTGATCATTACTCTGCACTTTCCTCGTATGACCGCTCGATATATCCTGTAAAAAAGTTACGTGCACCTATTTCAAACGTGTTCTCCCTCACTTTTTTATTATTTTTTGGTTCGTTTATTCCGGTTCTTTATTTTTTTCTCGATTTCTCATTTCTCAATTATGAAGAATTTCGAACGTTCTCGTAACGAATCGCACGGACGAGGCTTCTAGCAACTTTTTCGACGTCGTCAGAAGCGCTCATGACCGAGCAATTAAGATGTGTCCGAAGCCATCGAACGTCGTGAGCAAAGATTTCTCGCTGGTACTCTGGTTACACTTATAATTGCAGTTCGAGCTTTTGCGGTTTCGTATAAGCGGAAGCCTTATTAGTGATTTTTAATAATTGAAGAAAAGGACATTTTAACCAACGAAGAATTTTGTGGAATAATTGTGAGAAGTGTATGTACACTTCCGGTCAAAAGTTTGGGAACAATGTGCATTGTAAGTTGAACGAAAATTTTCTAGAAAAAGTTAGCAACTTCAAGAATTTTTTAACAAATTTTTTATCAGTCAAATCTCTATTAATCTCCGCAGAATAATCGCGAGAAGTGTGCATACACTTCTGGCCAAAATTTTCGAATCACTGTGCATTGCAAGTTGCGCAAAAGTTTTCAGAAAAAGTTAGCAAGTTTAAGAATTTCTTATCGTTCAAATTGCTATTAATCTCCGCAGAATAATCGTGAGAAGTGTACATACACTTCCGGCCAAAATTTTCGAATCACTGTGCATTGCAAGTTGCACAAAAATTTTCAGAAAATGTTAGCAAGTTTAAGAATTTTTTAACGAATATTTATCAGTAAAATCTCTATTAATCTCCGCAGAATAATCGTGAGAAGTGTACATACACTTCCAGCCAAAATTTTCGAATCACTGTGCATTGCAAGTTGCGCAAAAATTTTCAGAAAAAGTTAGCAAGTTTAAGAATTTTTTAACGAATTTTTTATCAGTCAAATCTCTATCAATCTCCGCAGAATAATCGTGAGAAGTGTGCACACACTTCCGGCCAAAATTTTCGAATCACTGTGCATTGCAAGTTGCACAAAAATTTTCAGAAAATGTTAGCACCTTTAAGAATTTCTTATCGTTCAAATTGCTATTAATCTCCGCAGAATAATCGTGAGAAGTGTACATACACTTCCAGCCAAAAGTTTCGAATCACTGTGCCTTGCAAGTCGCGCAAAATTTTTCAGAAAAAAGTTGGCAACTTTAAAAACGTTTTAACGAATTCTTCATCATTCGAATCGCTATTGATCTCCACAACATCAATTACAAATCAATAAAAAATTAGTGGCAGATTCAAAATTGCTGTCAATTGACAGATGAACCAAAACTTATGAACGGAAGTGTATGTAGCGGTCACGTGAAATGTAGTTGCTTGTTACGTGATCTTCTCGCGTAATAAAATCGAGAAGAGTGATAAATATTGAATACGACGTTACGTAAATATTTGTTATGCAATTTAGTTGATTGAATGGAGAATTTATGTAGCATGTAAATTTAGATATACGAAAGTATCGGAACATTGTATTTACATTGTGAAAAGTAATTTTTAATGTTGCGTAGATGGTTAAACTGCAATAGGTAGATACAAAGAAAATCGTTCTCTGAGACGAGGGAGCAAAACGGGATGATGAAACGAAGTGGTGATTGGCGGAAATGAAATAACTGATTCGCCGATATTTCATAATTTCCGGTGTGCCGGTAATAACCAAGATGTCCCTCGTAACGATAATACCAATAGCGAAATTTATCCGTGTATCATTTTCATTCTATTTGTAGGCACAGGATGTACCGTTTACTTATGTATTTTATTAATTTCTCGTTTCTTCCATGTAGTGGAATTTATATTATATTTCCACAGTTCAAATAGACCAAAATTGAAATTGCACGAATCGGAAAATTTTGGAGTAATTGGATACTCGCTTTTTTAATTTTACCTTCTACATATTTTCCCTTTATAAATACGACAGAA